TGAAAGTCTGACCAACGTACGAACGTCTTATCCGTATCTAAATAACCATTTCTCTTTTCGCCATTAAAAGTTTTAAAAGTCGTAAAACAACAATGCATTTTATCATTCCTTCTCTATTTCCAATTTTTGCATTCTTGTATCACTGTTTCGGTGTGAAGATTAATCTTTTAAATACGGCCGAGACTTTGAACGAATGAAACTAACAACTGATTACAGTAGTAGGAACTTGCAACATCGAGTCAAAAGGATTAGTAAATTACTTACTTTAGGATCATCTGCCCTGTGTGCAGACCGCAAATTAGCTTACAGGACAAACATAGACAACGAGCATTTCTATTTCGGCGAAGTCCGTCGCGCGAGTAAAAAAAACAGCGAATAAAGTGTGAGGCGCTTCTAGTCGTGCGCCACACTTCCGAATTTCCACTTAATTTTGTTTTTTTGCTGTTTTCTACTTGAATAACTTTATCTCATGGAGATAAAGTCTTTTTTCCCCCTACAACTTTAATATGTTTAAGAGGAGTTTAGCGAGAAACGCGCGTGTCTGAGCTGAAAAGAACAAGTGGCTAACGCTTTTTTCGCGTAGAAAGGTTACATCGAGTTAGATTCTGAATCGTCCCTTGTCGCTGATCGCGGGAAGGATGCTGATACACAATACATTTTGAAAATTAATTTCGCTGATGCTAACCTTAAAACTGCTAAGCTATCAGTTCGTGGAAGGGAGGCGAAAAAGCGGGCGTGCAGAAAAAGGCGGGAATGAGGCGAAGGAAAACCGCAGCCCTGATAACCTCCGTTTTTGCTGGCGCAGTCTTTCGCTTGTCTCTCGGTCAGCAATTGAACGCTGATGGCATAGAACTGAAATGATTCACACTCCTACTAAAACAATTTCCAACCATTTTACCTGGTTACGACAAAGCCCAACGCGGTAGTACCCACGACTCCTCCTATTTCAAACACTGTGGACAAGTAGCCCGCCTGGACTTTGGTGTAGTTGAGCTACGAGTAAAAAGCATTTTTAAACCATTAGATTTCAAAA